TTAAAAATGCACAATTTCGTTTTCTCCTTAGACACCGAACACCTGTTCATTGTAGAATTGTATAAAGTATGGATAAGCCAAACGATGGAAATTGAAATTGAAAATTCTACCACGTGGAGCTTACCACTGTTAACATTTTGGTGTGTATCTTTCAAATCTTAGGTGTCTGTGTGTCGCATGTCACTGTTTTAGTACCTGTAAAGCCTGAGTCATTAAGGAAATGCTTTTAATGAAGATTAGGACATTATTAGTAAATAACAATTCATTAATCATTTAGCATTGGTGGTACAGAAATGACAGTGGGTAAAACTGACACCTCAGTGAATCAAGGCAGTGGAACCAAACTAGTAATGGTCATCCTTCATGTTCCTACACTGGCGAAGGGGGTGGAGGTAGCTGGCTTTGCTTAAAAAAAAAAAAAAAAGTCCTTGATGACGCTGTAGATATTGTCAATTGTATTAAATCTCCACACCTGAGGACACGTCTTTTTAATATTTTGTGTGACAAAATGGGAAGTATACATAAATCACTTCTTTCACATACAAATACAATAATTGTCTTTTTTTTTCTTCCACTTTTTAAAAAAACACTTCATTTTCAGGTAATCTCTATCCCCATGGTGAGACTGGAACTCAGGACCCTGAGATCAAGAGTTGCAAGCTCCAGAGACTGAGCCAGCCAGGTGCCCCACAATGTCTTTTGAGGGAAAGAAATTGTGTGATGTTTGAGTTGCAAGCTAAACTAACTGCTTTTTCAGTGGAAAATGGTTTTTACTTGAAAGAACAACTAACAGACAAATTATGATTATTTAGCCTTAGATGCACTTGGATTTGCTTCTCTGAAAGCAGGAGAGTTTCAAGCTCATGCCACCAGCACACGCAGTCCTATGGAAGAGAGAGGATATCTCACACCCAAAGGCCTCAGTAAACATTTATTGCATTGTGTTACATCTTCACCAAACCAGTCCCCGGGGCCTGGGGATGGAATGTACTGATTGGCCTAGGCCATACAAGGTCCTCTCCTGAATCTCCATCCAAACTATAATAGTTAAGAGTAGAGGATGTATGGTACCCCCAGGATGACATTGTATCTTTCAAAGGCAACTTTCACTTTGGACATCATATTTCTGTTTCAGGTTGTTTTCAGGTGAGAGTACAGAATAGCATGGCAGCCTGGGTCTGAATCCTGTCTGCCATTTACTGGCTGTGTGAACCTGGACAAGCTCCTTAACCACTCCTAATTCAGTCTTCTCTTCTGTGAAATGGTGCAGGTAGATTAATAATACTACAACACAGAGTTGTGAAGATTAGATGTATTAATATATGTAAAACACTTAGAACACTTCTGGGGCACATGGTACTCCATATTTTCAAGCAGAAGAAAACCCAATATAACTAGCTTAAGCAACAAAGGAAGTGTATTGGGTGACATAATTGCAAAGTTATGTAATTGCAACTTTCAGAGGTAGGGCAGGCTTTTGATCAGAGCTTTCATGGTTTCTCTACAATTGTCCTATTCAAATTTCTAGGACTCACATCCCCCAGTCCAGAAGAACACAGCCTGCTTTCCTATCTCCAGTCATTAAACAAAAGGCATAGGCTTCCCAGCTGAATGAATTTAGGTCATATGCCTCCCTGAACCATTCACAGTAGCCAAGAGAATCCCTTGCAATGACTGGTTTAGGGGTGAATTCTTTCCACATTTTTGCACTTAGGGGGATTGGATTATACTGACTGAGGAGGTGGGAGTAGAATCAGCTGCCAATGAACCCCTTTGCTGCTACACAGTGAGTGGGGCTGACAAAAATGTCTACAATAATGAACAAAGTTCAATGTTTGAATTTATTTATAGTAATAAACTAATACAATGTTTCTAAAAATACCCTTTTTAGAATACAGAAAAATTGCAGAGAGAAAACAAACATCTTTAAATCTGATGCTCTGATAACCATTTGTGATGCAAGAAAATGCAAACATTTTATTCAGAAAAGTGTACAATACAGCATAGAAACATATTGGAGCAATTGGCAAAACTTGAATACAGACTATATAATAAATAATAGCATCAAAATTCAGTTGTCTTGGGGTCCCTGGCTGGCTCGATCAATAGAGCATGCAACTCTTTATCTCGGGTCATGAGTTTGAGCCCCACAATGGGTGTAGATTACTTAAAAAACAAACAAACACAAAAAACCTTAAAAAAAAAAATCCTTAAAGGGGCACCTGGGTGGCTCAATCGGTTAAGCGTCTGCCTTCAGCTCAGGTCATGATCCCAGGGTCCTGGGATTGAGCTCTGCATTGGGCTCCCGGCTTCAGCTGGGGTCTGCTTCTCCCTCTCCCTCTGTGCTCTCTCAAGTATAAATAAAACCTTAAAAACATCCTTAAACAAAACAAAAAAGTTCATTTGTCCTGAATTTGATGATTGCGGTGTGGTCATATAAGAGAATGTCATCAGAAGATACACACTGAAGTATTTAGTGGTTAAGGGACAGAATTTCTGAAACTTACTCTCAATTGGTTTGAAAGTGTATATATATATGTATATATATGTGTATGTATGGTTTTTACATGTTACTTTTACACACATGCACACACAAATGTTAACATTTGGCAAATCTGGGTAAAGATTCGCAGTTCTTCTGTATTTGGAAGTATTTAAAAATAAGAGTGTCTGGAGAAACAGGCATAAGAAAACTTTTGTTACCAGATTTGTGACTTCTATGCAGTCTTTTATGACAAAGGTTGAAAAAAATAAAACAACTAAAAAATGCAACACAAACCTGCCTTATCTCTTCCTTCAATAATAGCCAGAAACCCCTGCTAAGTTCCTACTGTGTCCTATCAAGGAAAAAACTCAAAGCAATATATTTCTATATTAAAAATTTTTTTTAGCCCGCCTCCTCTATATCAAGATTTTTAAAGAGAATTATTTTGGAAATCAGCTGTGGTGCTTTGGTTAAAGCAGATGCACAGGCAAACGACCTGCGAGCGACCTCCCTGGCATAAACCCTCTGCAGAAGCGCTGGGGTTCGGGCCAAGGTGGGGCTGAGAACTGGCCCGCTGCATGCCGGGATCTGGAGTCTTTCTTCACCCAACTGCAAAGCGCTCTGGGATTGCCCGGCCGCTCCCATATCTCGCGATGCTATCGTCTCTTCTTCGCCCTATGACCCCCCCCAATTTAACGTGTTTTTTAAATCCGCCAATGGGAGCGCAGCGTAGGCTCGAACCAGCCAATCGGAATGCGGGGACACCGGGAAATTTAAATCGCGCCGGCCGGCTGCACGAGCCACACCGTCTTTGGGGTGATCCGTGGTGGACGTTTTGAGGGCAGCTGTCCTGCGGCTTGCGCGCCCCGGACCGCCTCCTGTGGAAGCCTGAGCCGGCTGTGTAGGTACGAGCTCAGGCCGGAGCCTGGCCCGAGTGATAACGGCAGATGTGCAGGCCGCCCTCCGCTTGCGGGTGGCGGGAGGGGAGGCCGGGAGTACACGCCCGACCTGGCTCTGGCCTCCTTCGTGGACGAGGCCCCAGGGGCGTCGTTCGTTGACAAGGCGGCTGTTTCGCGGTGCGAGTGCTTGGGTTTTAGGGCGCCGCGGCTCTGCGAACCGCGGCTAGACCTCTGGCGCGTCGCGGCGGGGAAAATCAATGAGGCCCGAGGGCGAGAGTCCCGGGAGGTGGCCCAGCGCCTCTCGCCCCTCCTCCGCCGGTTCCCCGCTGCATCTTCCCGGGTGGGGGGCAGGGGAAGGGCCTGGAGATGGGGGTGGCAGTTGGAAGAACTGTCTCTTAACACGTAGGCCCAGGGCTGGCTGTGACACAGCGTCGGAAAAGAACATCACCGAACGAAAGATAACAAATTGTAAGGAGGATTTGTACTTTTGTCCTCTTTCGGCTATCGGTCTTAAAGTCTGAATGAAGCACAGTTGATATCAGCCTAATTAAGTGCATTCACTCGAAATTTCTGGAAATGAAAATGTTTGCGAGATGCTGAGGATGCAGAACTGTGTCTCGAGTTTTCAGTGTTGACACGGAATGTTATCGAAGACTCCATAATGTGATGATGAGCCAGATATTTATTAAGTTTTCAAGTGTGGAGAATGTACCTATTTTGGCCATTTAAAGACAATAGAGAGAGCCTCCAGGATATGGATTTATTGCCCGTAGGACATAGGTTTTAACACTGAGCTAGTTCCCCTATTTTGCCTTCAGTTAACTATTTAATTGAAATAGTCCAGTTGCATTGTCCAGTATGGTAGTCACCAGGCTGATGTGGCTAGTCCGGTTGGGATCTGCTGTAAGCCTAAAGTACACACAGGATTTTGGAGAATTAGGATGAAAAAAGTGTAAAATATCTCAAAAGCTCGAAATATTATAACGTTGCAATGAGAACATATTGGATGTGTTGGGTTAAATAAAAGAGATTAAAATTAATTTCACTCATTTCTTTTTGCTGCTTTGAAAAATGTGGTTGCTAGGATATTTAAATTTATACAACTTGCTTTCTATTTCTGATGGACAGCACTGCTCCAGGAAGTCTCAGCCCTTCAGAGGGGAGGGGACTAATACTGTTTGGCCAGTTCACTATTTCATAGTGTGGAAAAAGGAAGTTGCTCCTCTAATATACAAGTGTGGATGCAGTATTTGATAATTCTGTAACGCTCTTCTTATTGACAAAGCAAAATGATAAAAGGGGAATTTTTTTCTCTCCATCTTAACAGCTTTCTCCCTTTGTCTCATAACCATGTCCACCAACGAGAATGCTAATTCACCAGCTGCTCGCCTTAACAGATTCAAGAACAAGGGGAAAGACAGTACAGTGAGTACCTTCTGTTGCTTTCCTGTGGTATTTTGTAAATGGAAAGGTATTTGGGAAGGGATCAGAACTTTGAGGAAATTTGAAATAAATGTCCTCACTTCGCAACAAAAACTGATAACAGTAGGTGAAGTGGTTTATCTTTTTCCAAGGAAATGAGGCGGCGCCGAATAGAAGTTAATGTGGAGCTAAGGAAAGCTAAGAAGGATGACCAGATGCTGAAAAGGAGAAACGTAAGCTCGTTTCCTGATGACGCTACCTCTCCACTACAGGAAAACCGCAACAACCAGGTAAATATATATTTTAGATTATGAATTACGGCAAACCCACAAAATCAATATGGTGATTTTCTTAGAAATTTAAATAGTAAGGGGCTTCTGGGTGGCTCAGTGGCTTAAGCATCAGGTCTTGGTCTCAGGCTTGTGACATGAGCCTCGCATTGGGCTCCACACTGGGTATGGAGCCTACTTAAAAAAAGAAAGAAATTTAAATAACATTCTTAGCCTAATGGTTTTTTTTTTATTAAGTTTTTTTTTAAGATTTTATTTATTTATTTGAGAGAGAGAATGAGATAGAGAGAGAGCATGAGAGGGGGGAGGGTCCGAGGGAGAAGCAGACTCCCCGCTGAGCAGGGAGCCCGATGTGGGACTCGATCCCGGGACTCCAGGATCATGACCTGAGCCGAAGGCAGTCGCTTAACCAACTGAGCCACCCAGGTGCCCTTAAAGATTTATTTATTTATTTTGAGAGAGTGAGAATGAGAGAGAGAGAGAGAGTGAGTACATGAGCGGGGGAAGGTTAGAGGGAGAAGCAGGCTCTTCGCTGAGCAGGGAGCCCGATGCGGGACTCGATCTCGGGACTCCGGGATCACTTAGCCTAATGGTTTTAACTGTCAACTCTGTGAAGATCTTTTTTTCTGCTCCCAGTCAGGAATTCTGTTGGGTTGTCTCCTTTTCTACCCACTCTCCCTAATCTACTGAAGCTGATTCCAAGGTCTCCTTTAGCTCTGAACTCCCTTCAGGTTTCCCTGCATTTCCACCCACCAGTTCAGTACCTTGACTGGCCAGTCCAATGTTAACTGAAAGTTAGTGTGTCTAGAACCAATCACTTTCTGCCTTTTTTTTGGGTGTTCCTGTTTTTTGTACTTTTCACCAGCTTTGTTCAGATTTTTTTCCTCCTGAAATATTTTCAGTGGTCTTCTAATTTATCTTTCCCTTCATTCTATGCCACATAATACTTACCTAAACATAGTCTTAAAATACTGCTTTAGACCTCTTCTTTCTCTGTTTAAAAACTTTGGTAGTTTTAAATCCGTATTCTTAGAAAAAAATTTTGTGTGTGTGTAAATTAGATCAATCTTAGATTTTCAATTTATTTTTTATCTTTCAAAGATACTGGGAATCTTTAGTGCCTCAATTTTTTTTTCCCCACCAAACAGTACCTATGTGCTATTTCTAGAGTACTATAGTCAAATCCTATATTCTTATAGCACTCCTTGGTCAACCTAGCAGGAAAAATGTTCCCTTTTCAGGGTTCCCATAGCATCCCAGCTGTGCACTAAGATGGAGAGTAAATGCTAACATAACATGAATATTCACCATTTGTTTTATGGTTATCTGTTTTTCACATTTTCCTTGTTAAGTTGTAAGCTACAGAAAGAGGGATGCTATCTTTTTGAGTTAACTGTAGCACTGATTCTCAAACCCTTCTACTGTGATTACAACATGAAACATTTTTGTAGCACTGTACTGTGGAAATGCAGAGATTATAAGCTTAGATACGAAAATCCCTAGCACGTTGCCTACATAACTCCATCCCTTTCTCCCTAACAGCATATCTGAATGCAAGTGATTGAGACTAATGTAGGAACAACCTTCAAACTGCTCTAATTTCATTTATTAAATTGTTCATAGTCTCTTCTTTTAGTGACAAAATACTGGGATGATACTCCATAACTGGAGATTCCAGTGAGTCATACACCAAGTTTGAGCACTGTTCTGCATGTGAAAGAATGAATATTTAATTAATAGCCAAAATTAAATGTAAGGCTAAACTTTTAGTAACTGATTATAAACCTAAAAATGTCTTCACAGTGGCAAGTAGGGATTTTATTGTCTGTATTTAATGTTAAAAATGATAATTTGTGAAATTAATACCACTGTCCTTGCAGGGCACTGTAAATTGGTCTGTTGATGACATTGTCAAAGGCATAAATAGCAACAATTTGGAAAGCCAGCTCCAGGCTACTCAAGCTGCTAGGTAAGTCTTTTCTCCCAAAGCATGGGTAACCTAAGATATCAGCCCTCTTGGATTTTTTTGGTGGGAAAGAGACAGACAGATAGCATGGGTAAAATAAAAGTTAAGTTTGCCATAGGCCTATTTTCATTAGAATCTTCCCTTAGGTGAAACTGTGATTTTGTATAAATCACAGCTGCCTAAAGTCCTGCCCACCCCAGTGATAACCTTTTGGTATGCTTTTTAAGTAAGTTACAAAGTTTTTTGTACTTTGGTGGCATTTCAAATTGGTGGCAGAGAAAGAGGAATTATTCAGTAAGTGGGATTTGCACATTCATTTAGAATGGCGCATTTACTCTTACCTTCTATCAAATACAAATATTTGTGACATCCATAACAAAGAATTAATAATTTCGATAGTTTGACAGTGTGCTGAAAAACAAATCCAAGTGACAAATGATGAAGGAAAAGATGCTTAACCTCACTAGTAGTTAGGGAAACAAATTAACAACGGTAGTATAACTGTCAGATTGTCAAAGTTGTAAAGTGACAAGATCTAAAGTAGTTTGTGGGAATGCAGAGAGGAGGTTATTTTACATTATTGGTAATATTTCAATTTTGGGGAAAAGGTAACTAAAGACACCACGTGTGGCAGCACCGTGCAACCAGTCTGTTCATCTCCTCTTAAATTCCAGGAAATTTCAACATTTAGTGCATTACTTTAAAAGGTTATCTCAAGTTGAATTGCATTTTAAATTGATTTTTAAAGTTAACTTCTCTTGATAATCATCTTCAACTTTTGTTTCTCTTTCTGCTTATCCTTAGGAAACTGCTTTCTAGGGAAAAACAGCCCCCCATAGACAACATAATCCGGGCTGGTTTGATTCCAAAATTTGTGTCCTTCTTGGGCAGAACTGATTGTAGTCCCATTCAGTTTGAATCTGCTTGGGCTCTCACTAACATTGCTTCTGGGACGTCAGAACAGACCAAGGCTGTGGTAGATGGAGGTGCTATCCCAGCATTCATTTCTCTGTTGGCATCTTCCCATGCCCACATCAGTGAACAAGCTGTATGGGCTCTAGGAAACATTGCAGGTACTTGGATTTAAAATCCTTTTGACTATCTCTAATCATACTGAGGTTGGGAGAAGTGCCTTGTCATAAGTAAGAGTCACCTGTGTGTTAAGATTTAAACTTGCTTGCTTTTAGTGCTTATAAAGGGGTATTAGTGGCATCTAAGTAAGTTAGGGAATTTCCGAGAGTATTGTCTTTGTGTTAGGACACTGGTACACTCAGTCACTGGACATTGATGGTGCTAGACAAGTAGATTATGATTAACCTTGACTTTTTTTTTTTAGGTGATGGTTCAGTTTTTCGAGACTTGGTTATCAAGTATGGTGCAGTTGACCCACTATTGGCTCTCCTTGCAGTTCCTGATATGTCATCTTTAGCAGTAAGTTGCTAACATAAGTCAGGTTACTCAGTTCTTGATTCTAATTTTTGCCACCCCCTCAAAATATAGAGGGACCTCTCATTGCATTTTTCTTTTCCCTCAGTGTGGTTACTTACGTAACCTTACTTGGACACTTTCAAACCTTTGTCGCAACAAGAATCCTGCACCCCCATTAGATGCTGTTGAGCAGATTCTTCCTACCTTAGTTCGTCTCCTGCATCATGATGATCCAGAAGTATTGGCAGATACCTGCTGGGCCATTTCCTACCTTACTGATGGTCCAAATGAACGGATTGAAATGGTTGTGAAAACAGGAGTTGTGCCCCAGCTTGTGAAGCTTCTAGGAGCTACTGAATTGCCCATTGTGGTAAGTTGTTAACTTTTCGTTGAGAATATAAACCATAAGAAGCATGGTCAGTTGATACTGATGTTGACACATTGCCTATTTTAGGCCATGAGGAGCCTCTGACTTGTCAAAACCTTTATTTAGGGTGTAGAGTTTTTGAGCAGTGTTGGAAAAAGTAAAAGCTAACCGTTGGCATCAACATTTTTTTTTTCCTTTTCAGACTCCTGCACTAAGAGCCATAGGAAATATCGTTACTGGGACGGATGAACAGACTCAGGTTGTAATAGATGCAGGAGCACTTGCTGTTTTTCCCAGCCTCCTAACGAACCCCAAAACTAATATTCAGAAGGAAGCTACGTGGACAATGTCAAACATTACAGCTGGTCGCCAGGACCAGATACAGCAAGTTGTGAATCATGGATTAGTCCCATTCCTCGTTGGTGTTCTCTCTAAGGTAATGAAGTCTTAGTACTTAACCAATGGATGTTAGTATTTATGGATGGACATTTGGTAGAGCTGTGCTTGATAAGATTCTTCATGTACCAGTGTTGGGTTCTAAGTCCTTCTCTAAATAGTGGCCAGTAACCTCTTTCACTTACAGTTGGATGGAATCAGTTAGTAGTTTAGTCCTTGTTTTTCTGTAACGGTACTTTTGGGATCTTATTTTTAACAATCGTTCTGAAGTAAGCTTGTTTTCTTATGTTTATTAGGCAGACTTTAAGACACAAAAGGAAGCTGTCTGGGCTGTGACCAACTATACAAGTGGTGGGACAGTTGAACAGATTGTATACCTCGTTCATTGTGGCATAATAGAACCATTGATGAACCTCTTGACTGCAAAAGACACCAAAATTATTCTGGTTATTCTGGATGCCATTTCAAACATCTTTCAGGTAAGTCATAAGGTAGTATTTGAATTTGGGCTTGATGGTAATTGATGATATTTAGACTCAGGGTAGGACAGCTAAGGTTACTCAGTAGGGCCACAGAATTAGGCTGTTTATGTGGGGCACACTCTCAGTAAGACGTGACAAGGGATTATAAGAGATTAAAGGAGATGACAAGTGGGTGACCTGAATTGAAATCAAGTCCATATGTGGACAGGATTCAATCCTATCTATTTTGTCAAAAATCTTTAATTCTCCAATGTCATACTGAATTTTGGTACAATTAAATTTTGATGACTTAAAGTTACCTAATTTTATTTTTCTTCTGGTTCCCTTCCTAATTAACCCGAGCATGCTAGCATGTGACACCTTGTCACAGTAGTTGAAGGTAGGTAGGTCCTACCTAATGACTTTATAAACTTCTGATATGGAAATTTTACCTAGAACAGTCGAGTCTAGGATAATGATGCTTGGTGTATCCATCACCCAGCATAAATAATTTGTCAACATTTGGCCTATTTTCCTACTCTCCCCTTACCTAAACCCTCTAAATTTAATTATTTTGAAGTATATAAGTTATTTCATCTGTGAATATTTATGTATTCTAAAATTTGAGGACTGTAAAAAAGGCTAACCACAGTTTCATTTTTATACCTAGTAAATTCTTGATATCAGCAAATAATCCAATCAGGGAAATTGGTTTTTATACACTTTAGGCCATCTTTGCCCTTATACGATGGTTCTCTACCTTGACTACACTTTGGTGTTATCTGAGGTGCTTTTTTAAAAAGATTTTATTTATTTATTTACTCATTCATTCATTTATGAGACAGAGCCATGTGTTAAGGGGGGCAGGGAGGGTGGGAAAGGGAGAGAGAATCTCAGCAGACCGAGTGCAGAGCCCAGTGTGGGGCTCAGTCCCACGACTCCTGAGAATCATGACTTGAGCCGAAACCAAGAGTCAGATGCTTAACTGACTGAGCCACCCAGGCGCCCCTCAGGTGCTTTTATAAAACAGTAATTTTCTGTTCTCATCATAGACCAATTGAACCTGGATATGGTGTCATTAAAGTTGCCCAGGTGATTTTGATGCACAGAAATAATTGAGAACTACTGTAAGATCTGGCTGAGTGCTACAGAAGTAGCTGCTAAGAGCAAATACAAATCTGATCACCTTGAATTTTTAGAAAATGTAAACTGAGCCTGGGTGGCTCAGTCAGTTAAGCGTCTGCCTTCAGCTCTGGTTGTGATCCCGGGACTCATGATCCCAGAGTGCTGGGTTGGAGCCCCACATCGGGCTCCCTGCTCAGTGGGGAGTCTGCTTCTACCTCTCTCCTTCACCCCACTTGTGCTCTCTCTCAAATAAATAAAATCTTTAAAAAAATGTAAACTGGAGATAAAACCATCTCATAGGGTTGTTGAAGGAACTTTTCGAGTGGTTGTCTGATGTACATCAGTACCCAAACATAAACATTATTTTCATTAAAATAGAACATTCAGTAAATTCCAGTAAACTTGGAATTTTTTTTTTAGGCTGCTGAGAAACTAGGTGAAACTGAGAAACTTAGTATAATGATTGAAGAATGTGGAGGTTTGGACAAAATTGAAGCTCTACAAAACCATGAAAATGAGTCTGTGTACAAAGCTTCATTAAACTTGATTGAGAAGTATTTCTCTGTAGAGGTGAGTAACACGGTAATGTTAACAAGAATTTGGAAAATACACAACGTCAAGCCCCTAAGCTTTTTTTTCCTTATACTTTTTAAATGAGCCCTGTGCCCTTGTTAAATATGGCAAAATATCAGTGTGAGTAGGACGTGATGTATGTATTTGCTCCTCAGATGTTTGGCTTGATGATCATATAATCTTTAACCAGAAATTTTTAAAATTAAAAAAAATCAGTGTACTTTCGAATGAATAGTCTTAGGGAATTAAGAATATCTTGAGAGTAAGTTTGTGTAGGAGTTGATGGAGAAGTGGGCCAACCCTACTAATAGGCCATCGTCCTTCCCATTTCCTACTGAAAAGTGACAGGTGGGAAAGTAAATCTCTCTTGTGGTAGCATCCTTCACCCTTTCAGAATCTTCCTCTCCCAAGGCGCTCCAGAATTAGCAAGTTTCAGCAGCTCTCCCTCCCCTATTTGTAATATTGAAATACGGTTCAGCATTAAAGGTGTAATATGCAGATGAAGACCTTAAGAATAAATACAGACGTCTAGACAGACTGCTGCCTGGAAATGTGCTCTGTTTGTGGAATTATATTGTTTGGTTTTGTTTTTTAATACTTCCAGGAAGAGGAAGATCAGAATGTTGTGCCAGAAACTACCTCTGAAGGCTATACGTTCCAAGTTCAGGATGGCACTCCCGGGACTTTTAACTTTTAGATTGTACAGCTGAGGCAGAAAGTTGTTTGTTGTGTACTCTGTTTGGTAGAAGTTTGTCTTACTGTTTCTCTACTAAGAACTCTTTTTAAATGTGTTTTGTTATTGTAGCACTTTTTACAACAAAACTCTACTTGACCAGTTCCAAACTGTACAACCTGTATGAAGCTCTTCCTCAGTGGGTTTCTTATTTCTATGTAGAATCTCCTCTCTTGCAGTGTCCTGTAAATAAAGATTAAATTCCACTCTTTTCTTTACTTCACCGTTCCTATGTATTGCTTTCTAATTTGGAGTTCTTAAGATTGCAGATGAAGGGTACCAGACCCAAACCAATGTGAGTAACCAGAGGTGTGGTTCTGGTTGCAGACATGGTTTGATGTCAGGTTTGTGAGGTCATCAAGGATGCAAGGGTGATAACTTTTTGTCCTGCTCACTTCTGAGTTCTGGCTTAGCTCTAGGCTACTTCCATTCTTTGTAAATCATGGCTGTTGGTACTTCCAGATGTCATATCCACTACACACCAGTCAGAATAGAATTTTTCAGAAGTTTGCATAGAATAATGAACAAAATTTCCCAGAAGCCCTTAGCCAGAGTCTCCTTAAATCTCACTGGCCAGGGAGACAGGATAAATACATACATATATATATATATACATATATATATCAAGTTTATTTTTTTAAAGATTTTATTTATTTGAGAGAGAATGAGAGCACGAGAGGGAAGAGGGTCAGAGGGAGAAGCAGACTCCCTGCTGAGCAGGAAGCCCGATGTGGGACTCAGTCCCGGGACTCCAGGATCATGACCTGAGCCGAAAGCAGTCGCTTAACCAACTGAGCCACCCAGGTGCCCTATATATAAAGTTTAATCACAAGTCTCCTCGAGCTACAGTTAGAATTCATTCCTCCCAAACTTCAAGGCTGAACGTTTCAAAGGTGTATGTTGATTTACCCAAAAGTTCTGTTTAATTGGTAAGGGGTGGGGTCCAAGTATCTTTAAAATTTCATCCCTGTATGCACTTTCTGTACAGTCCAGGTATAAAGCCACTAAGGAATAGTTATGCTATTAGCAGTATAGGAAATGGATTTGGGGGAGAGAGAGGGAGGGTTAACCAAAGTTCCCCACAAGTCTTAGGACAAATGAAACGCACCTAAAAAGCACTACTATCCATTTCTCTGTTGATGAGTGGGAAAGTAATGAGCCAAGCCTCCACTGCTGAAGTCGGACAGCTTTGCCTGCTTGTTTTCCCCCTAGAAGTTCTAGAGCTGAGGTGGTGGAGGTGGGCATTTGGGTTGAAGACTAAAAGTGAGTTGGGGGGCGCCTGGGTGGCTCAGTCGTTAAACGTCTGCCTTTGGTTCGCGTCGTGGTTCCGGCCCTGCGTCGGGCTCCCTGCTCGGCGGGAAGCCTGCTTCTCCCTCTCCCACTTCCCCACCTTGTGTTCCCACTCTCGCTGTGTCTCTGTCAAAAAAAAAAAAGTGAGTTGGGACCACAGAGGGCTACTGCATTCCGTAAAATAAGCTAGTTTTGCAAGTCAGTAGTAGTATAATGCAGATTTCCGTTTACTTTGTCTCCATGGGAATAAACATAAGGATATTCTTACCCCCTCAGCTCATCAGTCTGCACCTAAGTACATCTTGCCTTTTGTAGATAACAGGCTTTTAAAGTGGCCACTATGAGATATATATATTTAATGCTTGTTTAGGTGCAGAAATAGAGAATACTTTGGCTAATGCTTATTTAAAACACCTCCTGCAGCCAAATTTTTAATTTGGAACACTGAGCCATGTTACACCTGGTCCTCCCGAGCTCAGGGTGTCCTGTTGGGAGCCCTGGTCGTTTTCTCGGCTTGTTGTATACAAAGGCTTCCATAAAGGGGAGGCAGAAGTCACAGAACTGCACAGACTGCCCTTCCTGTCCCACCTACTTGCTGCACTGCCCTTTTTTCCTACCCTTGCTCCAAGGTAAGTCTAGATGCCGGACCCCGACATCGTGAATGTGAGAAGAAACATGGAAGTAAACCTGGAGACCAGAGGTTTTTGTTGTAGGAGAGGTGGGCTTAGTGGGCTGAGGGACCAGTCGAATACATGCTGCTTAAGAAGCATCAGGTCTGTCACTTTCAGAGGGAAAGCATGAGCCAGTAGTGAAGTAATGGACAGGAGACAGCTGATGGCCAGAAATACATTTTCATATCTTAGATAACATTTTTAGCATGCTGGTTTCCTATACAGCCACCAACCTTTTCCTCGTTCCAAAGTGTTAATGTCTAGATAGCTTTTATTAATGCACATTTTGTAGCTCCTACCAGTTTTAAATCCCTTTTAAAACTTTAATAAATTCCCTTTGCCCGTAACTTTCAGTTTTGTATTAGTTTGTAGTAGTAGGTAAGTAGGGGTGGGAAGGTAACACTTAAATTTTTATGAGGCAAATATCAAAGGAAAATCTAGCACTTGTGCTTGTGGCAAAAATCCTTAGAGTTAAGCTATGGTTAGAGGTTGAACATCAGTGTTAAAACACTGCACCAAGTGTTGATTCTTTACCTTACTAATTGTATCAGCTTTAAATCCTATTAAGCTACTGTTTTTGGAATAAAGTAGGACATTCCGTTTCTTTAGGTTGGATTATTCCTTCACCCCGAATCTTTCTGTGGCTGCATCATCACTGAAAAGATAAAAACTGGATAATTTCGTTATAGCAGCTCTTTGGTGTTAAGGGGGATTTTGCTTCAGCATTTGGCCTCGAATTGCTTTTTTTTGAGCTTCCAAGAACCAGGTCAATTAAAACCAAAATGGTGTTCACCAAAGTGGTATGTTCCTTTTTATCTTACCAATAGTTCTAGGAGCAAAATCTTCAGTTTGTTGGGCAGTCGGAACGCTTGTGAGATTACAGTACCCCAAGTTCGGAAGGCCATGAAGAAAAGTGAAGCTGGCTACTCCTTGCCTCCCTCTACCCTGCTGGAGCTTGCCAAAACCCAGCTGGCTGAATTTGGAAAGCCCTCGAAACATGTCATTAATGGTGCTTTCTTTTGAGATTGGGCTGTTGACCTAATTTGGGATGAACAAAACCTGGCCAAATCCTGTAGCGTCCTCCCCCAAGGGAACGTGTAGTGAAAAGTGTATAGCAACATCATGGAGTTAAGTCTCAACCTCAGCTAATAAAGATGATAAAAAAAACACTCAAGCTATTAAATAGGGTTTTGTTTTGTTTTGTTTTTGAGGGCAGAAGAGCAATTTAATTTTGAGCATTTGTATGTTAAATGGCATGTTGCTGGCATAGTTTGAAAGCATTATTCTGGTGTCTTATAAACGCCTCTTTCCTCCTAAATATTTGGGACAGTTTTCTAACGCTGTGTAGGAGTTGTATGTGTCAAACCCTTTCCTACTGATCAGCTGTGCATTCCTCCCAGGCTTTTCACAACCGGGAATGCCCTTCCCCACCCTAGTTCTGGGATTTGCGGTGGGAAGGACTAGGCATTAGGAGTCAGCTCTGCCTGAGTTCAAATGCTGCCTCTTCTGTATGTTCTGAGTGACCTGTGGGTCATCAAAATAGCACAATCCCTAGTATAAATTAAGTTCTCTACAGATAGTAAATACTATATTAGTAGTGATATCTCAGTATTCTAGCCACAGGACAGGTTTTACTTTCTAGGCTAAGTTTACTATTACTCTTTTTTAAGATTTTATTTTATTTAAAATTTTTTTTAAAGATTTTATTTATTTATTTGAGAGAGAGAGAGAATGAGAGAGAGCACGAGAGGGAAGAGGGTCAGAGGGAGAAGCAGACTCCCTGCTGAGCAGGGAGCCCGATGCGGGACTCGATCCCGGGACTCCAGGATCATGACCTGAGCCGAAGGCAGTTGCTTAACCAACTGAGCCACCCAGGCGCCCTATTTAAAATTTTTTTTTTAAGGATTTTATTTCTTTGACAGCAGCGGTTGCAGCAGGCAGAGGGAGAGGGAGAAGCAGGTTCCCCGCCGAGCAGGGAGCCTGATGCGGGGCTCGATCCCAGGACCCTGGGATCATGACCTGAGCCGAAGGCAGACACCCAACTGACTGACCCTCCCAGGCGCCCCTAAGATTTTATTTTTAAGTAATCTCTACACCCAGCGTGGGGCTCGAACTTACAACCCCGAGATGAGTCACATGCTCGATAGACTGAGCCAGCTGGGCGCCCTTCTTTGTTTTTCTCATCATTCACAGCCGTACACCAACACGAGACGCCCCCCAGGGATTTGTTTCTATACTCAACAAGAGGATTCAATCCAAAAATTAGAATGTTTCGTGAGCCCTCAGGCCTTTTAAAGGCTGGCCTTAGCTTTGCAAACGGTGCCTCCCACCCGAGGGGGGCCCTTGTAGCCTCCCCAGGGAGAGCTCTGTGTTCTCTTCCTGCACCCACCGTTTCCCTTCTTAATTCTGGCAGACGGAGTGTTGGGAGCACCTCCTCAATGAACTTCTCACTGGCTGTGAGAACAGCCACCTGAGCCACCCAAGTCCAGCTTGGCGATGGTTTGCTTGGCAGCTTGTCACTACAAACAACAGATGGGCCCTTCCCAGTGACGGGAAGCTCCTCGAACGCACTGAGGCAGCAAAACAAAACTGTATTTTCTTCTCTGAACAAGCCTTGATGTTTAGAACTTGAACAGGTTGAGGCAGAAATATTGGAAGCTTACCCATAAAAACAAGGGAAAACGAAGGATTGGATGAAGAAGAAAGCTTTGAATTAACTGAAACTGAATGAGAAGTAAGGTCTGATATATAGATGGTAGTTTCTGATGGTAGCTACAAAAAAACAAAAAAAAACGCACACCAAAACCCAAAAACAACACATACCATTTTTTGGGCACGACTGTTGGAATACGGGAGAAATGTGGGAAAACATGTAGACTCAAACTCTGATTTAGACCAGAGTTTTAGGTGACTAGTGACTGTCCCAGTACCCTTCCTGCCCATCCTCTCAACCAATTGTCTCTGTCCTGGGGAAACATTAATTTAGTGAATATGAAGCTTTTTCCTTTTCTTTCTTTTTGGTAACTTTGTAAGGTAATGTTTCCTGGTTATAGAAATAGTAACTAATTGTCAAAAATTTAAAACTACAGGATACCAGAAAGATTAAAATAAAATCTCACCATATAATTTTACCTTTTTTCATCGATAGGAATCCTTAACCTGAGTGACCTGAGATACAGAATAGGCCTTAATGGGACCCATGGACCCCCCCAAATTGTATGCAATACGTGCTTGTGAGCTTTTTGGGAAAAGTTGCTCAGAGCCTGAAGAAAATTAGGTTCTCAGAGGTGCAGCCACCTTCAAAAATACTATAGACCTGAGGTATAGATCTTTCCAATTTACTTTCTACACTCTGTAGTGCACTTTTTTTTTTTTAAGATTTTATTTATTTACTTGAGAGAGAGGGAGAGGGAGAAGCAGACTCCCCGCTGAGCAGGGAGCCCAACTTGGGTCTCGATCCCAGGACCCTGAGGTCATGACCTGAGCTGAAGGCAGACCCTTAAGCAACTGAGCCACCCAGGCCCTTCCCCCACTTTTTTAAATGTCACCATCGGAGTTCGCTTCACACGGTGGTTTGGCTCCCCCCTTTCTCCTTAATCTTTACACCCAAGGTGGGGCTCAAACTCATGACCTTGAGATCAAGAGTCGCCTGCTCTACGGCCTGAGGCCAGCCAGCGGCCCCATTCACGGGGTAGTTTCAGACCTCAGACCAATGACCTTGGCTGTGATTTCCCTACAGGACTCTGTTTGGACAGGAGTTGTAACTGCTGTCCCTAAATTTGATGGCATTGGGCTGACATTCATTCCCAAAAGCATGATGAAGCGCGTAAGAATGTGGCACCTCTCCCGGGGGAGTGAAGATAGCAGGCAGGGCTTTGTAGTTCTCCCCCTGGCCTCCCGTCCAGCTTCCCCGCCGGCCCCAGAGGGTGGGCGGTATCCACAGGACGCGTTTGGCGCCTGGTCGTTCCCGCAGACTGCATATCACACACTTTCCAAGGGTTGGATCCCAGGCCGCACTGGCGCAGGGACAATGGTCGCGAACTGTCATTAGGAAGCAGGGAACCTGCCTGGCCTTCACCAGCAGCAGCAGGTCTGTGTCGGGGGCTGGCTTCCTTTCTAGGCCTTGCTCCTGGCACTGAGGTAATAGCTGAAATCCCGCTGGTATGTCTGCGGTGGTGATGGTACTTGCCCTTTCTCGTAGGAGACTCAGGGGACAGCTGGCTCCCAGATGGCTCTGGTACCGTGACCCCACCAACATCCCGAGGTGGATGTGCTTGGGACACTTACACTCGGCCTGCCGGGGCGGGATGCCTGGGGACCCCCAGCCTGGGAGATTTATGGGCTTGGGCCTTGGAGAGAGCAAGTCTCTAGAGGAGGGATGCGGCTAATCAGTTTCCTTTGGTGGCGCGTTCTAGAATGATTCCAAAAACAAGAAGTTGACCTCATCCCTACCCCACCCGAAGATTAAGTGAGGATGAGTAGATAACTAGCAAGCTATTACTGACATTGCTAAATTACCTGGCAAAGAAAGTTCTTCATGTTCTCTCTCTCTCTCTCTCACACACACACACCCCAGAAGAGTTCTCTTCAGGGTATGTTCTTTAGGACATGACATCCACATGAGCCAAGAAGATCATAGGCTTCCCTTCCCAGAGGGAGTATCCATCCCATTCAGGTGAAAATGGGCAGCAAAGCTCACATAGTTTCTTGTTGCAAAGAAATTCTTCAGCGTCTATTTCCTGGAGATAATGTAGAGAATGTTAGCAGGTTTCTAACATACTTCAGCTGTTCAGGAAACACTTTACATAATTTCCTGCTCTAGAGAATAGGAGGAGGCCCAGAAAGTTGGAAAGTATTACGCTCCTTCTCTACGGTCTCAAATGCACTTCGCAAGGACTCCACACGCTCCCTCCTAGAAGCTCTGTTCTCGCTCTCGCAGCCCTTTCTCTCGGGAATGTTCTTTTTAAGAGGGTGGCGAAAACCCTCGTCACTTGGACTTCCCATAGCATCCTGGCCTGAGCTGTGTAAGGAACTTTGCAAATGAGAACTAATTAAGCTTGGAGAGCCCCCGGAGAGGGCTCCCAGCCGTTTTTGAAATGCAGCCAGCTCTGCGGTGGACCAGCCGCCGTTTCTGCCCTGCTCAGCAGCTACAGCAACAGGGGCAGACCGAGGGGAGCGAGGAAGCTGACCGCCTCAGCTCACCGGAGGTGCAAGGAGAAAGCAAGTTAGACACCATGTCCTTAACTGCCCTTTCACTTGCTTTTTGCCACCTCCAGTGGGGGTCAGATACTGGGGTTCCAACTGGGTCGTTTAGACTTTTGAGCAAGATTTCAGGTAATTGTGAACAAAAAGAAAATTAGCAAGCTTAGGATTAATTTTAGTCTAGGGGCACCTAGGTGGCTCAGTCGATTAAGTGGCCGATTCTTGGTTTTGGCTCAGGTCATGATCTCAGGGTCATGAGATCGAGCCCCGTGCTGGGCTCTACGCTCAGTGGGAGGATTCTCCCTCTCCCACAGCTCATGCTCTCTCTCTCTAAAATAAATAAATAAATCTTATTATTATTATTATTTTTAAATCTAAAGGAACACTGTCCCAGTCAAGGGCAATTTTTGCCCCCTGAGGGAATATTGGACAGTCTGGAGACCTTCTTGATTGTCTCAACTTGGGGAGAGGGATGCTACTGGCATCTAAGTGGGTAGAGGTCAGGGATGCTGCTCAATATCCTGTAATGTGCAGAACAGACCCCCACAATAAAGAATTATCTGGTCCAAAACATCAGTAGGGCCGAGATTGAAAACTTCTGGTCTAAAGTTTCTGAGTGATTCACCGTTGGCTTGTGTCCTCTTTCTCAGCCCTAAATCTTATGTTGGTGACCTTTTAGCCCATTCAAATTAGGATCCAAGCTCCTGGGAGCATCATGGGTTCCTGGCTCAGCCCTGCCGTAGATGTGTCTGCAGGTGATGACATTCTCCTAAGCCGTGGGGTGTTGGAGACATGTCTCTCACCACCCCATATGTTCCCTGGCAATGAGATGCTTTGTGCCTCTAGTGAGTGGTCTTTCCGAAAGCAGAACCACTTTTTGCATCGTTCCTTGTTGGGCCCCAGAGCTCAGAGGTCCTGTTTTCCCTTCAGTGGAGAGTGAGGCATTCCTTTCCCCCAGCAGGGCCGATTCGGCGAGCAACTGTTTATTTCTTCCCTCCTCAAGGCCCTACTGCCAGGGAGACCCCAGGCTGTGGCCGTTTGTCAGGCAGCCACAGTGATACTCAGCCAATAGAAAGATAGCAGGGAACTTCATTTCAACCTTTCCTTAACTTAAAAACTTGAAAACTGTCTTTTCTGGGGGGAAAGAAACACCCTAGGAAATCCTCACCTCACCCAGGGAGCCCCCTGGACAGCCCCGTGCAGCCTCTCCTTCCCCTCCGCCACGGAACCCCTTGGCTTCCTCCTCCAAGTCTTGGTGCCCCCCTGGGTGAACCTGGGGCCAGCTCTGGGCACTGGCCCACCCCACGCCCCTGGTAGACATTGAAAAGGAGAAAGTCCACCCAGATCTCATCTGATCGGTGCTGTGGACCCTGAAAAGTCGCTCTGAAAGCCAGGCTGCCTGTGGTGCCCTAGAGAAGATACTCTTTCCCCGGGTGGCTGTCCCAGTGGGTCACCTGCTATTCATTAATCAAGCCAAACAGGCTCCTAAACGTGACCTGACAACTATATTCGTTTCCTCGGGCGGCTATAACCAACTGCTACAAACCAGTGGCTTCAACAACAGAAATGTATTGTCTCAGTTCTGGAGGCTACAGAACTGATCAAGGTGTGGGCAGGTTCCTTCTGAGGCTGGTAGGGAAGTATCTGTCCCAGGCCTCTCTCTCTGGCTCATTGATGTCCGCCTTCTCCCTGTGTCTCTTCACGTCGGCTTCCCTCTGTGCATTCTCTGAGTCCAGCTGTCCCTTTCTATAAGGACACTGGTCATATTGGATTAGTGCCCACTCTAATGACCTCATTTTAACTTGATTGCCTAAGACCTCCTCTCCAAACGAAGTCATGTGCTGAGGTCCTACGTGACTTTTTGGAGGAGAAAACAATTAAATGCAGTCCATGATCTGGGATTGGATCCTTGACTGAGGGGGGACAAATGACATTAAAGAGGTTCTTGAGGCAATTAGCAAAATTTGAATATGGACTCTATGTTAGATAATATTAATCAGTATTAAATTTCTTGTTTGGAAATTGTACTGTGGTTGTGTAGAAAAGTCTTCTTGCCCTTAGGAGACAACATGACAGTGTTGAGGCATAAAGGAGTATGCATCTTACACCCTAAAGTAATTCAGAGAAAAAAATATTAAAATTATAAATATATATAGGGGCGCCTGGCTAGCTCTGTTGGTAGAGCATGTGGCTCTTGATCTTGGGGTTGTGGGTTCAAGCCTCATGTCGGGTGTAGCGATTACTTAAAAACATTTTTTAAATCCTTAAAAAATTTATTATAAATATAAACATATAAATTGATGTGAAGTGTTGGGGTTTGGGAGCCAATGGTCAAGAAAGAATTCTTGGGACATGTTTGGTGCAAAGAGGGTGGTTTTATTAAAGCAGAGGGTGGGACCCATGGGCAGAAAGAGCCCATTATATACTTTCAAGTTGGGAGGGGGGGTTAGGGATAGCATAAGTCTGTAAGGAATTTGGAAGCAAGGTTTCCAGGACCTCGAGGGGCTAGCTGTTGTTAGGAAAAGGTCATTTACTACAGTCTAGTAAAACCTTAGTCATGAGACCCTTCCGATGTATATCAGTGGGCCATATGCTTGGAGGATGATTGCTAACATGTATCTTGGGGGGGTAGAGATAAAGGAAGTTTCCAGAGGGATTTTTACAGGATCCTGGAGGTCAGGCTAATGTCAAGCTAAGGTTGCCTTTTGCCTCCAGCAAAGTACTAACATTGAGGCAGCTAAGCTCCTTGAAGACTTGTCTCAAGGACTTGTCAGTGGGCTGCAAAAGAAATTTAATTTTTTCTAGATTTCTTTTGTCTTTGGCCTCCACATCATAAATTACACACACACACACACACACGATGCTACCAACGGAAACTCAGCAAGAGCCGTTTTGTCAATCATTTTGGGAGTAATGAGGAGAAGGCATGTATTCGTCACAGAATGAGCCCTGCAAGGGAGGAGTTCCCAACACTGGCAACTGGGAGGGTGTCTGGTGCGGGGGCTGCAAGTGCCGGCCTGGGGCTCCGGCTGGGCCACCTGCTTGCTGTGATCTTGGGCGGGTTACTCCCCCTCTTTGGGACTCACTCTTCTCCCCTGTTAACGCTGCTGTGAGGGTCAGAGAGCTTCCTGTAGGTGAGGCGACGTGAGGAGTGCTCAGGGGAGCTCGGCCATTAGCACGTGACCCTGTCAGGCGGTCTTTGCCTGTGGGGCCCGCCACACGCGCTCAGCAAAGTTCGCTCTGGAAAGCCTGGATTCCGAGGCAGACATGTTTGCAAAAGGTGAAGGAAACAAGCGCTTCTGTCCTTTTAATCATTTTATTTTCCTTATTTGCAAGCCGACTCGCCCTTGTCCTAACACTTGTTCTGGGCCTCAGTTTCCCGGCCGTGGGTCATCGTCCCCACTCTCTCCTTTGTCCTCTTCTCCGATTCTTTTCTGTCACCGCCCCCCCCACCACACCGCTTGGTAAATAGCGAGGAACCCATTGCCCAATCAGGCCTCGATTCAATCCCTCCCGCCCAGAGCCCATCGGCTCTGTCCTAATTCTCGAATTAAAGGGGCTACACTCGCTCCTCGTCCCATCAGAGGGCTCGAACCTCCCGCCCAGCAGGACCCTCCGCCACCCCACACCTCCCCCGCCACACCCCGGAACCAGCCTCTGAGGCAAACACTTGAGGTCTGAGCCTTGAAAGTTTTAACAGGAAAAACTCAACCCGCCTCCCTGCCTCCTGACGTAGCTAAAACACTGATGTGAAGAAAAAGATGTTTCTCAGACCTTGGACACATAACTTCCCCCAAGCGTTCCAGATCGGGGTGTCAAAGCGATAGGGACCCCCAAACTGGGCCACGTATCACCACGTTCCTCTCAATGGACTCAACCCCCCAGGACTTCTAAAGAGGAACCATGAGTTGACAATGAATTCTTTTGGTTTTACGTAGGAAGGGAAGGAAAAAATGCTGTTCTCATAACGATCTAAAATCAGAGAAAAGAGAAGTTATTGGCTAAAAAAAATGTTTTGTTTTGTTTTTTCTCATAGTGGGTTAATATTTTGCATGTGGAAAATGTGAATACGGGGTGTGGGATTTGCTATGTAACAACCTGGGAGGTAGCGAGTTCGGTGTGTTACAGCGGAAGGGAGGCATTTGTGTAAAGCCGTGGGCTTTCTCCCAACTGGAAAAACCACCACAGGGAGGCAGCAGAGCTTACTGGTTAAAAGTGAGGGCTTTGAAAGCGGCAGATTGGAGTTTGGGAAATCTTGATTCTAGTACTTAGTAGCTGTGTGACCTCCTGAAAGTGACTTAACTGCTCTGTGCCTCACGTTCGAACTC